GTTAATCGAACTACGTTTTAAATTATTTAAAGCGAAATTTTGTATTACCAAATAAAACAAAAAATGCCTTCATTTATTGATTTGGGTCTTGCACATTCATTTGTTTCAGATTCTTATATCTCTTCTTTCTCTCATTTATGAGTCAGACACACCGGTACATTTCAGTCACCTCAGCTACGAGCAAATAATTTAATACATTGAAAGAAAACTCCGTCCTCCTCATTTATCACTTATCGATATAAAAGACAAGAGGATTATCTAATTTTTTCTGGGAAGATTTATTTATCGCATAGAATTTACTCCTTACTCTATGAACTGATCTTGGGACATGTAAATTAATTTATAGGACGTGAATCGTGACCGCAAATAATGGCTGGGAGACCGCTGGCAGTAATTAACAGCTAAGCTTCCCGACAATTTACTGTACAAATTATAATACATATTAGCTACGTAGCTATCGTACCTATTATAGTTGCTACCTTTTCTTTCTCGTGCTTGTGTCATCATCCTACAGAATATAGACCTGATATTTTATAGAATAATTAAATAGAAAATACATTTCCACAAAGCTTTAAATATATACATAAAAACGCTGACAGCTGAAGCTTAAAGCTCCGCCCAAAAATACGTTACAACCTGCAAGGTCCCATTTACGCTAAACCGATCTCATACCATAACGCATTAATTGCCGCGATCTCAAAGTTTTTTTCCCTTTTTATTGACCGAGCACCTGTGCCCCAAACGGACCCAAGATGATTTCGATGACTGGTTAGTTTGTGTACAAATAAAAAACGAAAATGCATTCAAATTGACACTTTACTGTTAAGACATAAAGTCCACTAATAAACTTTAAAATTACTCAGGCATTATTTTTTTACTGTCTTCTTTTTAGACGGAGGGTGAGAAGATGACTTTACTGACAAGCCAAAAGCAGGCAGGTAGAAAATCGATTGTATCATCTGTGTAATAATAATACTGGATTCTTGCAGATTGTAGGAATAAAACTTGAATAGTGGTACAAAGAGCTGTTTTTATCGCGTCATAAATAGCGTCGATATCGCTATAAATCTATCATGCTATATAGTTCCAGTTTACTTTTTATGTACAGAGTCAATCTTTCAACGTGGCGGTTAGGCCTAAGGGTAGATTATTTCTATGGCGTCTTACGTTATTATTTCCATGGTACAATTTGTTAATTTGCTGAGATGATATAGGTATGTGTTATGGTAGGAAAACATTTAAATAGATACAAAACATACCCCTAAGATTGCAAGGCAATGTTAAGATAAAATAAGTGGACTTAAAAAAACTTACAATAAAAAAGTAAACTAAGGCAGTGAGTTTCGAAAGCCACTACAGTAGCGCGTATTTGACACATTTTTAGGAAAATTTAAATACGCCTGCGCTAAGCAAAATGTAACTACAACTAGGTATTACATATTTTTAATAAAAAAATGTTACTGCATCTGGCGCAGGACAAGACACGCTTCACGAGACTGAAGGCCAACCCACAGTAAAATGATGTATATTTAGAGTCTTATAGACTACTAGCTGACCTGGCAAACGTCGTTTTGCCATGTATATCATTTATAATAAAAAAAGGGTCCGTGTACTTATGTACGCGCGTAAGAAGTTATACTTCTTTGGCAATATTAAAAATAGTTTGGCTTTGTTCCACCTCCAGTTTTTGATGTTTCACAGCGATAAGATGAAAACTCTTTTTTTTGTATTCAATTTAGTGCAGTTACACTGATTCATCAATTGTTTTTTGTCTCTTTTCCTTATATTTGCTAGATAAAATCAGAAAAATTACATGTTTTGATTAAACAATGTGGTTAATTTTTTAATCAAAACATTACTCGATAATAATAATAATACATACGGATAGTTAACCTCAATTGTATTGAAGCACTTAGGAAGGTTGATGAGCACAGTTTTTTCACAAATATTAATTAGTATTGGTTTAAATATTCAATTTAAATCACTTCTGATTATAATTCAAAAAGCATCGCTAAATTTCTTTGAAAAAATAATTAAAACTCCTTTATTTGTTTAAAAGGTAAATGAGAAATGTCATTATGGTCATTCAAAATTGTTGGCATACGAACTTCACGCATATTCTATTTCTTTTTACTTGTAGATTGTCTTATTCCTATCTCGCTCGCGCACGCTATAATCACACTCCTGATTTTGTGTCACGGGTGCGCGCGCATTGTAAAATTTCACTCTCATAAATTTTTCATAACGCGCCTAAAGAAGTATAACTTCAAAAAATAGGGGTTGATCGTAGAGGGGTGAAAATTAGGGGTTGTATGTATTTTTTAATACTGTATCATAAAAATAAAATATTTAGGGGTGGACTTCCCTTTACATTTAGGGGGATGAAAAATAGATGTTGTCCTATTCTCAGACATACCCAATATGCACACAAAATTTCATGAGAATCGGTCAAGCCGTTTCGAAGGAGCCACAAACACCGCGACACGAGAATTTTATATAATATTCTATCTCCTCTAACTCTACATTAGTACCAAAGACATTTTAAACATAGATGTTGCGATTTTAGTTGTCTTCACCACAATTATACCAAATTCTGTCGTATCTAATAATTAATTATTTCATCAAGATATGTAAAAATAATTAATTATAAAAAAGTTAAATATAGTATTTTTCACGTTCATAGTTCACGAAATAAACGCAGAAAAATGTTATAGAAAACTAGTCGATCGCTTCTAGTGCCAGCACAAGAACCCCACGAACGAAGAAAATTACTGGTATTAAACGAAAATCGCCTCGAAATTGCACTGGAGATGTGAGCATAAATTGCAATTAGCTCTGATCCACTGACGCCTCTACACGAAATTAATTTTATTACATTATTACCGTGAAATACGGAGAGTATCGCCACAAAATTGCTTCATGATTCCTTATAGAATAGATTAATATTGTGGGGAAAACGTTTAAAGTTCCCTAGAACATCTATCACAATTTATGTAGCTCGGTTCTCAAAAAATAATTAATAAATAATAATGTTTTTACATATTATCTTTGAAGGAGGTCTTTACCCAAACCTGTTAATTCATAAATAAATAATATATATATTACTAATATAATCTAAGCTAACTCAATATTTTTGGTTACTGTAATAGCAACTACCAACTATTGTAATACAGGAAATAAAAAGGCTTATTATTATTACATATTATTATTAACATCACTTAAAATAACCCCTTATTCATCAAAAGTAACAGTTTAATTGCTCTCTTTTAACAAAAGTATTGTTTCGTTTTAATCTGTCAAATTGTGTCTACGCTGCGTATAAAGATATATGTAGATACTTTAATACTTAAAACGGTGAAACTAGACTGATTTAGTTTTTAAGGGATTAAGTTCACAGAATTGATATCAGCTTTGGTAGACTGAAACTTAAGCTAATTTATGCCACCAGGTATTATATTGTATTTTAGTTTTAAATCGTAATTTTAAGAGCTAGTTTTAGTTATTTACCTTTCCACTTTATGCTCGTAACATTGCTTATATTAAAGTAAATATTTACCGACATAATAGAGTCGTGTTGTTAATTTTAAGGCCCTAGAAATACGTAATTAACTACCGTTGTTTAACTAAACAGGGCCACGCCATGTTTGATGTTAATAGAATGAATTATTGTTCCGTAAATGATATAGTCAAATTTATCGACATTGCTCTTTGAATGTAATCCTTATGCAATTGAAGTTAAGTGTGTTATTGTATCAAGTAAAAATAATGGGGAGAATAATTGACAGTATCGAGTCTTGCTGGCTGAATCGGCCGCTGGGTGCTCCAGTACGATCCAGCTCGCACGCGTTCTATTTTAATAAAGTTATTGCCTGTTTGGTAATTTTCCACAGAATATACAAATTAAATAAGGTTAATATTTTTCAAACATAGTTCAAATTATTATTTGATTCTAAATAAGTGGAGCTAACCAAACATGACTAGTATATACTTAGCTACAAATATAAACGAGGTAGGTAGTATTATTTTCAGAGTTATTGTCATTTTATTTAATACTAAAATGAAATATCGTCTATAAGTAAGGTGAAAGCTAAAACTATCCAAGAAATATGCGAGCCGGATCGTGCACCAATCAGACGGAAGAAAGTATGTCTGGCAAGAATCGAGATGATAGCTCGTGGCGGGCTGGAGGCTGCCCAACCGGTTATGCTAAACCCCATTGTGGTCACTTTTTGTACTACTCCTCTCACACCGCCATGTTTTCAACCCGCCAACCCTGCTAAGTTGCCAAAATTTACGTTTATGACGCCCATTATCATTTTTGGCTAATACAAAACAGTTTTGACTAATTTTAACGTATGAGTTGATCTTTGCTAACTAAAAGATCATCATAATATTATGAAATTATGACGTCTATGAATTGAGACAAACTACAAAACAAACTTAGTACTACCAACTACTACTTAGTCAAGTAAATTTTTGTCTTGATTAAGTAGTTAACCCTTATTTTAAGTGGCTTTATTTTTTCAAAAGATTGAATCTATATCAGCGTAAAAATACACACCATAAATTTGATTCTAATAAATTTTAAGACTGAACTCAGAAGTCTTTTTTTATTGTAGAAGTTCGACAATTTTGCATTTTGCCTAAATATTCTGACAAAAGCGCCATCTACTGTAAAGTAAATGAACTTTAGTGCATATTGTTTTAGTTTTTAACTTTCGAGATAAAAAAATATAGAAACATTACGTTCAAAATATTTTAAAAATTTAATTTTTAATTATTAATCAAATCTACACACTTTTGTAAAATGCAACATCGTCACAACTGTGACAATTAATAGCATATTTGACAACAAGATAATTATCAATGTCAGAAAAATGTAACGGAAGTTTGAAAGATCCTGAATAGAGATCCTTCAGATTTCCTTGTATCTCTGACAAAAATGTCTTTTTGACGTGATTTGCCGATAAATTTTCCGAAACTTTTCCTTTTTTCTAAATATGGGAGGCTCGCAAAGCACTCGCAAGCTTAGTGTGGACAATGAAAATGCTATTCAAGTGTCCCAAGAAGCATTAGACCGAATACAGTCACAACTGTCCGCCAAAGTAATTTTTTTTTGTGAATTACATAATTTGATTCAATGTCAAGTTATTAAACAAAATATATTTATCACATCTTAAGAAAATGAGCATCGTATTTGCTTAATAATTATATAGTGAACTTTAATGATTCCATAAAGTAAACATTTGTAATGTTATAGGTTATAATTGTATGATTGTATCCAATGTTGTGTTAGATGCATTGTAATGTTTTTCTTCACTTTTGCTTATTTAATAATCACACTACATGATTTTTGATCAAAAGTAAATATAATAGTGCTAACTGCTCTAATATTTTTTATTTGGCATTATAATAAAATTGTTTTTCAACATAGCATTGATTGTTACAACTTACAATTTCAGACAGCTGAGCAGGTACCCTCACCACCACCACAATATGCTCCTTCGCCTCCAATGTATGACCCGCAAAAGCGGCAAGAAGCAGCTGCTGAGGAAGCATATTGGGCACGCCGAATTGAAAATTTAAAAAGAGCTCATGAAAAAATCAATAGTGGAATGGTTGTGGAATATGAAAAGACATTAAAAGAAGCGAATGAATTATTTGAATTGGTTAAAGCAGATAAAATTGTAAATAAACTTCCTCCGTGTGAGCAAGAGAAAGCAAAGGTAAATATTTTTTTTATGTAATACAGTTCTTATTTCACCTCTAACATAGTATATGAGTCATGTAGCCTTATTTGCCTTCTGATGAATCTCAAATAAGTGTTAAACTTACGAAAATTAACCAAATTCCTGTTGTAATTTTTTTTTTATTAATAACTTAATTCCATGTTAAAATTACTGCCCAATTATTATTCATGTTATCACTGTGAAATCTATAGAACTAATTTTTGATATACTTGACAAAACCGTTTTTTTGTGGAAATTGTAACACAATATCTGTTTCAGGTTCTTGAATGCTACAGTGAAAATCCAAATAAATCCTTATTGTGTTCAGTGCTAGTGAATGAATTTAATGACTGTGTTTGCAAGAGCAGAATTGCAGCAGTATCAGCAAGGTCTTGAACCACTGTACATTTCATAGAAACTGCATATAATACAATCAGTGGTGTAATGTTTGAACAACATGGAAACGTAGATAATATATTATTGATGTATGAATAAACTGTTAATTTATTACTGTTCTTTTATTATTAATAATATTAGTCTATAAAATCTGGTTAATATTAGATTGGGAATGATTCAGCTAAAGTGAACAGCATTTTAGATATATTGCATGTGAGTAAAAAGAAAGGGTAAGAATACAGTATTAAAAGTACTCTTATCAATTGTAATACCATCATAAGCTGTAGTCAAGACTGAGCACAAACTATGACTCTATGTCAAAATCCAATACAATATGACATTTTGTTGCTAAGTCTATCCACTCAAATATCACCCTGTTATCTATTTCCACGGCAACAGTTAGTTATTCAGGCAGTCACATCAGCATATTAATACATTATTTACAAAACAAATAATTTGAACTGCCTCGCAATCAAGAGACATCATGGCAAATAAAGAAGATAAGCCTACAGAGGAAAGGAAAAGAAGGGTGCCTTTATATCCAGGATTCCCAGAATTGGCTCGTTCAGATGTCAGTGTCTATCCCAGTTATTCTGTACTAGGTGTTGCTTAGTAAGTATTGTAAGCACATTTTTTTAGTTGTAAAGTTCTATATAAACAAAACATGTATGCTTTTAGTAGAGTTGTGTGTCGTCATCGTTACCACTGGGCTAAGGTTGCACAACGTAAACAATTTATGAGTGAGCTTCATAGTTTTGAAAAGCTTCAACCTAATGCCCTTGGTGGTGTAAGAGTACACAGGGAATTTTCGCAAGGAATATTGTCACACAAGATTCCATCACGCCGCTACATACAAAAACTAACCCCAGATCCACTAAATATGAATCAAAGAATGAGAGTTGAGGAAATTATAAGTGGAAGAGCAAACTTTGGTAAAAAATGATTATGAAATATTTTTGCAATTTTGATTGTGTTAATCATCATCAATCTAATTATTAGATATTGCTATTCAAGACAATGGTTAATAAAACTATATATGTTGTGGTTAATATTTTTATTTAAACAACCTATAACAATTACCAAATAAAACATAAGTTTAGCCAGTTTAGAGTTAAGAATTATTAGCAACAGCTTTCTTGTTTTTAATCTTTTTACTCTTTTCTACATTGCTTTGCAGATAGTGAGCTTCCCTCTTCGCTTGAGATATTTCAGCCCTGAGTCTCTGTTTCATAGCTGCCTTCTCATAAGCTAGCCTTTCACTTAAATGAACCCACTTGAATCTAGGAATATACTTGATGTTCCATATCATATCATAATACCGTGATTTCTTCCTAGTTCCTATTTGCGTATTATTTAAACTAGCGGCAACGCTTTTGGCAATTTTTTTCTTCTTAAATTCCACCCAGCCCTCCGTAAACTGATTAGGTACGCGTTTTCGTTTTTCTCCAGGTTCTGAAAATATTAAATTGATATTAATAATTAGTAAATAACGATACAATAGCCTTATATACATAACCTCAAAACACATACTTGCACTTGATTGTAAGTAAATCCTTCCTATTTCACCAAACTCACTAAAAATTTCTCTTATTTTAGCAACATTCATGTAAGGAGGGATTGTAGAGAGATAAATTATTCCGCGCTTTCTCTTCTTTTTTAATTTCTCCGAATCTGAACCCACTGTACTATCCATACTATTTTCATTTCTATCTACATCACAATCTGAACCATTTTCTGGAACCCTTTCCGCTATCTCAGGCATTGTATTTCAGGAATTTAATATTAAAATTAACAAAATGAGAAAATTATAACATTTATTTAAGAATTTTCGACAAATTGGCAACTTACTAGTTACTACCACAGTTCTACTACCAAAAATAGTAAACAGTTACGTAGCATAGATAATATTCACAGACTCCTAGCTGTCAGCTAAAAGTAGTGAAAGTGTAGATTATATTCAGCATTAAATTTGTAAAATAGAGACCATGTTCCACATGACTTCTTAAGTTTAATAAGTTAAGTAATATTTTATTTCATTCTACGAAATCATCATCATTTAAGGTATGGAATCTTCGTGAATTGGTTCGGTTTGAACTCTACCGCCTCTACGTAATCTGTGTTATTGACTATTGACATCATATGAATACATAATAATTAATGTGTCTGACAAATCTGACAATCAAAACTGGAGTCACCAAGGGTAAAAAAATAAATCGTATCAAAAGTGATCGTCCAATATATAAATATCTGAATAATATTCAGTGTGTCGAAGGTTCGAGCTTTGATAACTTATATTACCGTACACGCTTGTCGCTGCGATTTCATTTTTAAGCAATCTGCATAATGGGTTGTGATGGTGGAACTATTCCGCGTCGTGATGAACTTGTCCGCTTAAAAAAGAAACCAGAACAGGTAAGAAAATACTTTACATTGTGTAAATGTGGTATCAAATAACATTAATCAATGAAATACCTTACTTTTGTATTTACAACTTGTTGTGTCCCTATTTTGCAGAAAGACAAAGATGCTGAACGCTCTTTCAAGTGGCGTAATTGTGCATTATCTCAGCAACCATTACAAGAACCGGTAGCCGCATGTGGCCTTGGAAGATTGTACAGCAAAAGTTCAGTTTTAGAAACTCTCCTGGATAAAGAAAGCAAGCCAGAATCAATAAGCCACATTAAAAATCTGAAGGTAATGTTTACATACATAATAAGTGATAATGAAATTTAACATGGACAACTGTAGTGGTTACTCTTGTGTTAACAGGTTCATTTATATCAAATTTATCCTGCAGTAATAATTTTGTTTTATTACTATAGAATAGGTTTGTAAAAATAATTTATCATTACAGGATATAAGGGATCTAAATCTTACAAAGAATCCGGCATACAAACAAACAGAACATACTGATGGTGCAGTGGGTGATGGCAGTGCTCCTTACATATGCCCCATAAGTGGTTTAGAGATGACAGGAAAGTTTCGATTCATATTCTTATGGAGCTGTGGCTGTGTGCTAGCTGAAAGAGCATTAAAGGAAGTGAAACAGAACCTTTGTCATATGGTAAGAATTTTATATTTGAAAATAAAAAAATATCTTGTCTTGTGTTGAATGATGAAGGAAAATATGGCGAGGAAACCAGCGGGCCTCACACTTAAGAATCAACAGCATGTGTCAGACACAGAAGGCTGATCACATACTTAACTATTAAGAAAAATAAATGATCATGAAACAGATACAGAAATTTAGGGCCCAGACCTAAACGGTTGTAGCAACACAGTTTTTTTTAAATCACAACTTAACAAGTGTAACATTGTATTTCCATGAAAAATTTTTAAATTAGATAGTATTGTCTTTGATTAACATAACCTTTACACATTTAAAGAAAAACGCTTTTTACCGGATTAAAGTTATGTTTATTATTATAAATTTACAACTATTTGACATAATAATAAACATAACTTTAATCCGGTAAAAGCGTTTTTTTTTTTTTTTTTTTTAAATTAGATTTCATGATATTAAAAAAAATGTTAATTTGGTGACAACCTGTAAATAAGATTGTACTACTAATTATTATTATTTGCTTAACAACTATATTTCTTTTTAGTGTCAGAATCCTTTCACTGATAATGATGTAGTGGTTCTCAATGGAAATGAGGAAGATATTGAAAAACTCAACGAACAGATGTCAATACGAGTCTCTAACAGAAAGACAAAAAAATCAAAAACTGCTAAGAAAGAAAAAGTTGAAATAAAAACAGAGGAACCTTCAACATCCCAAGAACCTCAACCTTGCAGTAGTCAAGTTAAAAAGGAAGATGATAAGAGTCAACTGAAAAAAGAAATCTCAGATACCATACCACTAACATTGCCAAAATTTAATCCAAATAAACAAGCAAGAGGACATTTTGGATCATTCAAAAGGGCTCATCCAAATGCATTGCAGCAAGATCCATCCTATAAAAAGACAAAGAAAGAATACAGTATAGCAAAAGATCCTCAAACAAGTGAAGTCTATAAATCATTATTTACAACACACAAAAGTGAAGAAGACCAGAAAAGAGCTCACTGGGTTACATACAATCCATTCTATAATTAATATATTGTAATAAAAAATGTTAGTATGATAATCAATCATTGATAAATGTAATTAAACAACAGTGGGTTTTTTATATTTTATTTAATTACTACAATAAATAATATTGCACATGAAGACCCTTACATTAAGCATTTTGTGCTTTGAAATAATATAATACTTGCAAGAATAAAACTTATCTAAGAGATCATGCATAAAATCAGTGTGTAAGTCATGTTTTACAAACTAAGCCCAGTGGTATGTCAGAATATTACAATTTTGATGCGTAGCACATGATTTCTATATATATGTCGCAGCCAACTAGCTTAATTAGCCGTTCAATTAACAACGCTAGCCGTTTTAAGTAGCGGCCTGAAAGATGTTCAGGTAGTTGATTAAACAGCTAGGCAAATGATTTGGATTAATGACGTTTCATTATTTGCCTAGCTTGTTGACTGTTAATTTAAATTTAATTCCACTTTCTGCCACTCAAACTCGAAACGAAACTCTTCAAACTGTCAATATGGCGTCGGCAAATCACAACTTTTATGGTGTTTTCCAAATTTTCATGAAAAGCAACAAGTAGTGGAAGAGCGTAGTGACAATAATAATGTGAATTGGACTTAATAAATTTAATTTTAAGAGAAATATTTTTGTCATATGTTTATCTTTTGTATTTCTGCCAAATAATGACTCTATCGTATGAATGGCCTAAGCATTAGCCAGCCAGTTTCTTAAATGTTGTAACAAACGCTGCGGCTGAATAACTTTCAGGCCGTTTAGTTAAAAGGCTAGGCTGTTAATTGAACAGCTTATTAATCTAGTTGGCTGCGACATATATACCATGCATTATTATTTCAAACTATGTATTTTAACTTTACACACAATTCACTATCCACCGGCACCTTTAAGACTTCCCTTATTCTAAATTAACTATAATGTTCTACAATAATAATATAAATACTAAAATGTTATAATTATTCTGTCTGGTTTGTATGTAGGTTAATTTTAGTTAAAACAGTTTTATGAGTAATTTCGTTCATGGATGACCATTACCCTGAATAAGAATTCATTAATGTTCTCTCGCGTTCTTGGCTCTTGTTTACATTATCATAAATTAGACTGTCTACATATAAAAAACTACATATACTATTTACTACAGTAATAGAAAATTGGAATGTTATACTTAATAATTAAAAATTTCGCTACAATTCTCTTTTTTTAATCACTCAAGCAGAGGTATCTTGCTGTACAGATGCTAATGTAGCTTCTATGATAAGATTAAAGTCGAGTTCATTAAGACTAGCTTTAGCTGTCAACAAATCTAGGAAGGTATCCAGAGGTGAGAGACGTTCTCCTGAAGGAAGCGCTGCAATACCTGCAAATAGAATGTCAGTGTTAATCATATATTAAAGTTTATATAGTCTTATCTCATTAAAAGTTTGGATATGCACAGCCAAACCAAAAAAATATGCCAACATTTAGTTTTATATTATTCTATGGAGCTGTATCACCAGAATCACTTGCAATTGCCAAAATCATGTGATGCAATTCTAAACGAATAAACAAATGTTATTTTACTTGTAACTTTCGCTCGAACAGTGAAGAAAAATATCATGAGGAAACCGACTTGCCTTATATTCAAACAGTCGACGACGTGTGTCAGGCGCAGGAGGCTGATCGCCTACTTGCCCATTAGATTGAAAAAATGATCATGAAACAGATTCAGAAATCTGATTCCAAGACCTAAAGAGGTTGTAGCGCCACTGATTTAATTTATATTTTATTATAAATAATTTATAAATTTTACATCATTATGGGTATTATTTTAAAATAAACTTAGAACTAAAGGCATACATATTTTTTTACGCAGAGCTTATTTAATAATAATAATAAGCAATAATAATTTTGCTGGAAAATGAATCCAAGTCGTGTTTCACACATCCTCATTCCTCAGGCAATTCGTCTCCAGCACAAGGTCGAGGAGACGATTAAACAAACTAGACTACAAATTGTTTTACCAATTTTTTTCACAAACAAATCCTACTAAATTATTAGCAGGCAGTCAGTCTACAAAACTTAATATGTTTACCTAATCGCTGACCTAAAGATGTACTAACCAGTGTCCTTGACAGGTCGATGCGGATGATGGTCCCTGGCAGGTGGAGTGACGCCACTGAGCAGGGCGGCTGCATGGTCCCGTGCTCGAAGGACCAAGGCCTGCTTATGAGGCCACGAGGCTAAGGCGCGTCGTCCTCGCCCTTCGCCCGCTAACTGGATCAGGCGCAGCTTATTGTTGACAGTGCGCTTGCTGTCGTCGTCTTTACCTATATATTTTAGATATTTGAATACCACAAAAATAGTACAATATACAATAAAAAATATATAGATAGCGCAGTGTTCTTTAACCTCACTGCCAATAAGTCCAGTACGGGTCCAAATCAAAATAGATATATTGAATATTGCAAAGCAGCCCGTTGCTATATCTATTAATTGTACTGTGAGATGTAGAATGTGCGGTGAACATGTCCGGTTTATGTAATTGCTGTCGTAAATTTGTAATGGCTTCGATAGTAAACCAATTTTATTTTTAAAATATATATTGAATCAGCTTAACACCGAATCATAGAGACAGTTCTACATGATCTCTAAAAATCTGTTATTTAGTAGAATTGTTACGCCGGTAATATTTTTACTTCTTCATCGTGCTGACTGATTACTGACATAATAACTACATTTGTATGAAGAATATTTGTAGCAGAAAAATCTTCGAGTTTGAAACGTAGCAAATTAATTATAAAACGAAGGTATTTAAATTAAACTTACTGGCAACAATCGCCTTAAGCACATCAATCTGCAATTCAAGTACGTTCCTATGCACGTACTGTACGAACGCGTGGAAGGGCAACGTACGATATCCCAGATATGTAAAGAACGAGCTGAAACCTTGCGGCAGTGGGTAAGCGACCGAGTCCGCTGCCACGTAATACTGCTCCAGAAGTTTAAACAGGACTAACGCGTGTGTTGAGTCCAGTTCATCCCTATATAAATCAATAAATTATTAATCTAATCTATCGTTTGTGCCTAAATCCAAGCCATACGAAAAACTAACAAAACAATGAACTGAAAAAAATCGATGTAACCCAAATAACAAAGCAAAACAACCAAAGATGAAAGCAAGTGAAAAACGCGATGAACCAAACGGGATTTAGTGATACACACGTGAATTCGAGACAAACCAAACGAAAAACAGCCAAAGAAAACAAAGAACTGGGCGCAGATCCATTCTTTAACTTTAACTAGTTGCCTGCAGTACAACGCCACAACACAAGTTCTATTTAATTTCAGTATTTTGGACCTTATTTTAAAACTTGGGCTGCAGGGAGTATTGTATCGGTTGTTACGGCTACAATTTCTTGAAATACAAAAAGACAAGTTGACCAAAAGGAGAAATTTCTATTAAGTTTGTAACTGAAACGCATTTGCTATTTTTATTTAAACAATAAAGATTATCAACTTAAATACACTCTTAGAATAAGCTTCTATTTTTCTATATTTTTTAGTTGATTTCTCTATGTTTGGATCTGCGCCCGCAACAGACACACAATCATACACGTAAGCGAAACCGCGTGGCTGATGTGCGAGCGGAACGGCAGCAGCGGCGCGCACGACTGCGCGACAGAGAGCGCGCGATGCGTCCAGTTGCGCGGCCGCCCAACGAGTGGCCAACGCGTGTACGCCGCTCTCTAACGCGCCATTCGATCCACTGCTCTCGCGCATTAGGTGAACGCTTACGGCGCGTAGATTCTGCATTTTAAGTCTATTGTGTATATTATACATTACAAGTTACAACTGATGTTCTATGTTGAATAACCATTCTCATTTTTGGTATCTTTATAGCGAAGAAACAACGAACAATATCTACGGGAACACTGAAGATTTAAAACGGAATTGCTGTGAATTGTATGTCATGCTTAATTATTTTGGTTTATGACGTAGTTAATAACATTCGTTAGATAAACTTTTTCTATCGTGTGAAACATCTTATTCCACAGAGAAGTTGCTCTTTATAACCGTAATACCGATTTAAATTATTCACTCAATATATATATATATATATATTGCATTGGCACTGAAAGTACCGTGATGATGTCAAAACGAACACCAAGTTCGATGTTTCTTCGTACATTGTCCTGTATTATATGGTATATATACAGGACAATGTACGACTTTGAATGTCCTTTGCTAAAACCAGAGAACATAAACCTTTAGGCAAGTACTTTCTTCTTTGCTTGTCTAATTGCTTTGTTCAACTAAAGTCATCGGCTTTTTTTCATCACAGCGTAAAAATAATTTGACAGAAAGAAAAAAAGAGATGATTTATTGTTTATGAATAAGTGATATTTATACATTTTAATATTCTGTAAATAAAGTTAAAAAGATGAATAAATACCGCAGCAATGACATGTTCCTGTTTGCTTGCGGTGCAGACGTCTACTTCAAAGAAAGGTAACGCGTCGTGGGTGACGAGCGAAGGCCGACGGGGCAAAGGACCCGCCGTTGGAGACATTGGAGTGCTGCAGCGAGATAGGGCTTCGGGCTGATAGACAAATTAATTTTATAGCGCTGTGATTTTAAACTTTAAAATGGAATAATACTCTCTTCTATGGTTTTCATCGTCATTCCTACTTCAATTTGTTTATTATTAACTCAATTTCCGATATTAATTATTTTAAAAATCTAGCTAATTTAGCTAGATTTTAACTACTTTAAAAATATTAAAGATGAATTTAAAACCCTTAAAATATGGAATTAGTAAGAAAGTAATCGTTACTAACAAAATTATTTTCTTTATATATCTCTACAGAAATACAAATCGCTAACCTGATAGCAATGAAGGCTAACCCTCAACTTCTCCAGCACCTGCGAGGGCTGTAGCCTCTCCTTGGGCGTAGCGAGGGCACACAAAGTAGCCCATAGGCGCGTCCAAGCATCTTCAGCGAATTGGCTGACGCGCTGTCTGG